TCCGCCAGGGTCGGGGACCTACGCAGAATGACGGTGTTCAGCGTGGTGCCCGCCACGGCCAAGGCCACCAGAAAGCAGAAGCAGTAACACGGAGAAGGTGGGGGCGGAGGCGGGCACCGTGCCTGCCGCGGCCGCCTGAAGGTGGCTCCAGGTCAGCACCCGCCGGTGCCCAAACCTGCGGCACACACGCGGGGAGGGCGGCCGGGTCCATGGGGTGCCACGGCGCTGGCCATGGGGGTCTGGACCGCTGGGGCCCACCCTCTGCTTGCCCGCTGAGCGACTCCCAGGTCCACACCCACACTCTGCATCCACAGAGGGAGGGCTTGTGAGCATGGGGAGCGCCCCCTGAGGCCCTGGGCAGGGGTGAGCTCCCCGTCAGCAGGGGCAGCCAAGCAGCAGCAGCCTGTGGCTGAGCAGGCTTTAGCAGTGAATGTTCGATGAGAACAATGACTCTGCACGGCCCCAGAGGGGAGTCCATGAAGCCGAGGCCCAGAGAGGGACTGAGGTTGCTCAACAGCACAGCTGGAGGGCCTCAGGAGAAGGACCCACATCAAATGGAGGTTTCTCCCCAGACCCGCCAGTTCAGGGCCAGTCAGGGCCCAGGGTCTCGGGGCGCAGGGACAGCGAGGGGACCGGGGACCTCACTTGTCAGAGACTTGGCCGCACATACCTGCTCCCACCAGGTTCCCGGCCAGGTAGATTGACTGAGCCATGGACTTCAGGGCCTGAGCGTCACACACCAGGTCCCACTGGTGGGAGAGGGGGCAGCCGGGGATCTGAACTCAGGAGGCCGGCAGGGGGCGGAGGGGCTAGATGGGAAGGTCCAGGGAGCTGGGGCTGAGTGTCCGGCCCGGTGACCTCGGGGGTCGTCACCCCTTGCCTAAGCCCCTCCTTGGCTCCCTGTTGCCCCAGGTCCAGGGTCAAGCCCTCTCTGGGCTCATCTGCCTCCTCGCCGTGTCCCTCTGCAGCAGCCACCCGCGCTGGCACCTCCTCCCGGCTTTCAAAGGCCACTTCCCTCTGTTCCATAGAGAGTCCCCTTCCTGCTTACTGGGTGGGCCGCCTCGCCTGTCTCCCGCATCTGCTGGAGGCTGCCTCTGGGAACCCAGTGACTCTTTGCAGAGTGCCCCTGAGGCTCCTGCAAGCTCACTCTTGCCACCAGCCCCGGTAGGGTGATGTGGCCAAGGAGGAACTGGAAGCTGCCTGTGAATGTAGAGGCCAGCGGTGGTGGGACTCCCCCTGCTGCCCCCCCGGGACTGGGCCATTTTGAATCCAGCCGACTGTGATCTGTGACTTTGGCCTCTAGGGTGTCAGGACTTGGGGAGGCCCCTACCTTGGTCACGATGGTGGAGGTGGAGGCGCTGCGGCTGTGGACCCAGCCGTCCATGCACGGCTCTGTGTCAGTCTCGCTCCAGTTGGTGGCCGTGGCGTTGGGGTCCGGGAGCTGCCACTGTGGGCGGCGGAAGCAGCGACACTGGTGGGGCCCACGGTTGGGCCTGGCGGAATGGAGACAGCCAGGAGGGCCCGGGGGTCCGGGGCCCCGGGGACACTGGCCTGGGCCGTGCTGTTGTCCAGGAGGGGCACCCAGCAGCGGTGGTTGGGCACGGCGGCCGAGAAGTTCTCCAGTATGTTCTGAGGGGCGAGCCACGTGATGGGGACAGCCAGGGCCACCATCTGGAGAACCTGGAACCGGCCCTGCTGCCCACTCAGTCCAGAAGTTCAGAAAAAGCCATGGAGCCTGCCTGGAGGCGCCAGTGGAGGTGCCCACTGCACAGAGGCTGGCCCAGGGCAGAGAGGCCGACACGGGGGACCCGCCCCCCCTGCAGCATCTCCTGCTGCTCTGGCCGGGCTGTCCAGGGCATGGCAGCGGTGCCTGCCGTGCAGATTCAGTCCGGGGGGCTCTGGGCGCCGTCACTCAGGGTGGCTCCGGCTGGGACCCGAGTCTACGAGGTGTGACCCTGCAGCCACCCGCACCTCCCCAGAGACGCAGCTGCCCCTGGGCCTCTGGGAGAAGCTGGGCTGGGGAAGTGGGGAAAGAGGAGGCTTGAAGTCACCCAGGCCGGGGTCACTGTGACCAGGTGACGAGGAGGGCTTAGTAATCACTTCCTCGGGTAAAGTTTAACCCGGCTCTGAGGGAGGGACAGATTCAGAGGTCCCGCAGCTCCCACCCTGCGTGGGCTGGGCGGCCTTGGCTCTGCCCCTCTGCATCCCTGCCGCCTCGTGCCTGCCTCTGCCAGGGGCACAGGGCTGACCCAGGAGAGGCGCTGCCCAAGGTCCTCTCAACCTGGGGGCTGGCGTGAGGCTGGAGCAACATCCGTGCTCTGTGAGGACTGTGTGTGTGTGTACGTATGTGTGTATGTGTAGCTCGAGTCACCAGCAGGCATCCAGACCCCACGTGGCCCAGCCAGTGTGGCCCAGCCCCCGCCCCTCCCTTCCACGTGTCTGCCGTCTTTAATGCGCCCCCCCCCGCTTTGCTGTCACCCTCTCCTCAGTCTTTCAGTGTCTCCAGACACCCCGTGGGTTCCTCAAGTTCAGTGTCACCCCAAGATCTCTGCCCCCTCCCCAAATCCACTCCTAGATCCCTAGTCTTGTTTCACATCTCCCGCACCTGCAGTGGCCGAGCCCTGCTAACTTCTCCTCCACCTCTGTGTCTCTACAGCTGTCCCCTCCCTGGTCTCCCTGCCCCGTTCCTGTCCCTTCAGCCCATCCCCACACTACAAAACCCTCCTGTCGAATCCTGCTTAAAAGCCAGCCCCCCGCCCCCAGCAGCGCAGCAGGAGCTGGCCAACCTCCCACGGCCAAGGTGGGGTGGGGAGCAGTGCATGCTGGCTGGGGGACTCAGGAAAGATGGACCCGAGCCAGGGGAGACCTCCTTGGTTGCAAGGGGGTTGATTGTCCAGGTTAAAGCCAGAGGCCACATTCCCAGGTGGTGGTGGTGATAAAGAACCTGCCTGTCAATGCAGGAGATTTAAGAGACGCGGGTTCGATCCCTGGGTCGGGAAGATCCCCTGGAGGAGGGCACAGTGACCCACTCCAGTGTTCTTGCCTGGAGAATCCCAGGGACAGAGGAGCCTGGTGGGCTGTGGCCCATAGTGTCACAAAGAGTCGGACACGACCGAAGTGACTTAGCATGCTTGCATGTGTACATGAGTACACAGATCATGTGCCTGTGTGTGTACACAAGTGCACAGATGTGTGTGAACATCTATGTACGAGTGTATTCAAGTGCGTGTGTGATGTCTGGCAGGTAGATGGTGGGCAATGGAATGGCGCTGGTGACCCCGCTGTTTGTTCTCACGTGCTTTGGGTGTGAGGCCGCCCCTCCCCAGCCCACTACTTCTTTTTGTCTTGCCCACTCTTCCCTCTGCTCATTCATGTAGCTCACAGGTACAACCTCTCCATCTCCCTGGCCTCTGTGCCCCAACCACCCACTCCCACGAGTACCCTGTATTGGCTCAATGGGCTCCTGCCGTTGCTCAGACAGTGCCTCTAGCCTGAAATGCGGTCTCCTAGCTCACTCTGGGCCACATCCTGCAGGTACCATAAGAGCCTCCTCCTCCAGGGAGCTCTCCTTCTTTACTCCTGCCTCCCCCTGGAGCCCCATCTTCACCCTGTCCTACACTTTCTGTTATTGTCCAGCTGGCCTCATTTCCATCTGGTTTATGTTGGGCAGAAACCCTTCTTTAGAGCATTCTTGGAACCCAAGTTTGGACAGCAAACAAAGATTCCATGAAGACATGCTTCAACTGGTTTTAAAAATAACTTCTTCCCCCACCCCCCACAATAAAATTAATGTATGCACCTTCCAAAAAATTCAGAAAATATCGAAAGGGAAGAAGAAAATGAAGATTCCTGCTAAAGTCACCAACCATGATCACCACTGGTAACATTGGTGTAAATACTTCCACACACTATTTTAGTCAATGTGAGTTTGATCCCTGAGTTGGGAAGATCCCCTGGAGCAGGAAATGGCAATCCTCTCCAGTATTCTTGCCTGGAAAATTCCATGGACAGAGGAGTCTGGCTGGCTACAGTCCATGGGGTCACAAAGAGTCAGACACGACTGAGCAACTGAATACAGCACAGCACAGCTCGTCTGCTTCAGAAGCCTGGAATGGAAACCAAGCTTAACATCTTTTGTAAAATCCAAGCGAAAAGCCCCTGCCTTTTACCTAGTGATTCTAGCTTAGCCACACTTATTGCGGTTATGATCATGTTTTCCATTTTAGTACATTTTCTTCTTTACTATATTTTCCCTTTAAATCTGTTTCCTTGTTCCTGTTTTCCATGGAATCCATTGCCTTTTCTTGTTCTGTTTTTCTTCCGTTGGATTTGGCAGGAGTTCGTTTTACTTCCATTAGCTTTCTATTTGAACACATGAACTAGGAGCTACTGTATATCATCTCCTGTCTTCAAACCCCCCACCCCACTTTCACCATGGCCAGTTCCTCCCTGTGAGCCCTCTTGCCCACCTCCCCACCTGTTCCCCTTCCTCCTTGGCACCTGTCTTTCCCTTCCTACTGGACAATTTCCATCAGTGTACGAATATGTTCCTTTTTCTCCAAACCTCAGATAGACCCCCTCCCTTTCAACCTCTCATCTCTCTTCAGTTGCCACCCTCTATTTCTGCATCTGTCCACGGTACAATTCCACGAAAGGCTTGTCAACATGCAGTTCCTGTTTCTCTCTTCCTGTTCTTTTATGGATCCATTCCCATTGAGTGTTTGCCCTGACACCCCATGGTCTCCAACGATACCCCTGCGGCAAGTTCAGTGGCATTTTCAGTCTTCATCGTACTTTGAGCATCGCAGCTCCTGAGCCGTCTCCTTTCCTATGACCCTTCCTCCCGGGACCCCAGGGTTCACCTGCAGCTGGCCCCTCTTCCCCTGCCCCGCTTCTCTGTCTCTTTGGCTGGTTCCTCCTCTTCCCACTCTCTTCCCCCGGGGCCACAGCGCTCAGTCCTCGGTCCTCTCCTCCGTCTTTCTCCTCTATCACCGGGACAGTTCACCTCTTCAAAGACCCCTTCTTGGAGTGCTAGAGGCTTCCCTTGTGGCTCAGACGGTGAAGAATCTGCCAGCAATGCAGGAGACCCGTGTTCAATCCCTGGTCAATCCCTGGGTCGGGAGGATCCCCTGGAAAAGAGAATGGCAACCCACTCCAGTATTCTGGCCTGGAGAATTCCGTGGAGAGAGGAGCCTGGTGGGCTACAGTCCATGGGGTTGCAAAAAGTGACACAACTGAGCAACTCATACTTTCACATTTTCAAACATGGGGGTCTGTTGAGATATCTTAGGCCCCAGTTGGAGCCACTCCTGCTTGGGGTGCCATGCCAACAAATGAAAGCTTAGATAACATTTGTGTCCCTGTAAATGCTCTGCTTGACCGGAAACTCAGTGTATGCAGTCAGTTGGTCCCCAGACACAAGCCAACCCTGGGCCCCGTACTATTGCCTCGCTGCTTCTCATTCCAGACAAGGCTGACTATATGGTCTCAGCCAATCTGATATTTTCTTCTTTTCTCATCCTATTTTTTATTCTTTATCTTATTAGTCTTCTTGCCTTCCCCCTCCCTTATTTTGCAGTTCTCTGAATGGAGATGATCAATGTTATGAAGGGTTTTTGTTTTTTTTTTCAATTTTCATCTTATTCACAATTTAAAAAAAAAATTTTATTGGAGTATAGCTGATTTACAACACTGTGTTAGTTTCAGGTGTATAGCATAGTGATTCAGCTACACACACACACACACACACACAAACACACATTTTTTTACAGATTATTTTCCCTTACAGAATATTGAGCAGAGTTTCCTGTGCTATGTAGTAGGTCCTTGTTGGCTATCTATTTTATATGTACTAGTCTGTATGTTAACCCCAAGCTTCTAATTTATCCCTGGCACCTCCCACATTTCTTCTGAGGTCACCCTAAGTCTGTTTTCAAAATCTGTGAGTCTCACCCATTTTGTACATAAGTTCATTTATATAATTTTTAAAAAATTAGATTCCACGTATGAGTGATGTCATACGTTTTTTGTCTTTCTCTGTCTGACACTTCGTTTAGTGTGATAATCTCTCGGTCCATCCATGAAGTGTTAAACTTTGTTTGTGTCGCCTCGGTTATCTTCTATAATCATTTTCTAGCAGACCTAATAAACGTCTCACACTTAACGAGGCCAAAGTTGAGTTCCCTTTCAACATACTTCTCTGTGGCTTTCCGGTCTCAGCTGTCAGAGACTCTCCTTTTCCTGTTGCTCAGGACAAAACCCTGGAGTCGCCCCTGTCACCCTGCGTATGCCATTTGCCAAGATGGCCTGTTGGCTTGACCTTCAAGCCGTGCCCGGGCCATGCCCGCTCCTTGCCTCCTCCACTGTGCCCTCCATGTCCCAAGCCACCGCCCTGTTTCCCCGGATCATGGCAGGGGCCTCCTCGCCGGCCTCCCTGCCTCTGCCTTTCAGCCTCTGCCATCCATTCTCCGCAGGCTCATAGAGGGATTCTGTTTTACTTTGTTGATGAAAAATTAATCAGTAGTCAATCTAAGAAAGAAGTGGAAATTTTTATCCGAGGATTAAACTCAGGGTGATAACCTAGGAGACAGTCTCTCAGAGGCTGAGAGTTCTCCTGCATTGCAGGAGGGTTCTTTACTGTCTGAGCCACCAGAAAAGCTTCTGTTTTCTGTTTTGGTTTTTTGGCCCCAAGGCTTGTAGGATCTTAGCTCCCTGACCAGGGATTGAACCTGCACTGCATTGGAAACCAAAGTCCTAACTCTTGGACAGTCCCAACTTAGCTCTTTTAAAAAATATTTATTTGGTTGCAGTGGGTTTCAGTTGCGGCACACGGTGTCTTCGTCTTCATTGCGGCTGTGGGCTCTAGTTCCTTGATCAGGGATGGAACCTGGGCCCCTTGCGTTGGGAGTGCAGCGTTTTAGCCACTGGACCAGCAGGGAAGTCCCCTTTAGTGCTTTTCTAAATGTGAGAAGGCGCAAGAATTTGAGTTCATAAAAAATTTCTCCTGAAAGTAGCTAATTATCAGAATGCCTTTTCTGCAAGTTTTCCAGAGCCTAAAGTACCTCATCTTGATCTTTGGCCTCAATTTTTTTTAGCACTATTGTAGGTCAGAGACTATAGTGGCTAATGACTTGATTCTTGTAGAACTGGATGGTAGGCAGCATTCTTTATTTTACAATCCCTTCCCTTTCGATCTTAATTCCAACCAAGGTTCTGGAGGCATTTTGTGACCAGTTTGTCCAACCACGCTAGGAATGCTCATTTCAGGGTCAGGCAAGGATTTTGTTGATTGGCTACTCAGTGAGCTGTTCCTGGATTAGGCCCTGTTGGTGCATGTGTGTCTAACTCTTTACACCCCCATGGACCCACCAGGCTCCTCTGTCCATGGGATTCTCCAGGCAAAAATACTAGAGCGGGTTGCCATTCTCTTCTCCAGGGGATCTTCCTGACCCAAGGACTGAAGCTCCGTCTCCTGTGTCTCCTGCATTGGCAGGCGGACTGTTCACCACTGAGCCACCTGGGGAGCCCTAGGCCCTGTTAACAGTAGCCAAAGCCTCTGGGCTGCCTGTCTTACTAGTTTCTTATGGTTCAGGAAATGGTTCTGCCTTGTTGCGTCTTCCCGTGTTTAGTTACACTATAATTGCTCTTATGGAACTGGATATTTTATATATTGTTTCAAGGCTGCAGCACTGTGTGTGTTCCGTCGTGTCTGACTCTTTGTGACCCCATGGGCTGTAGCCCACTAGGCTCCTCTGTCCGTGGGATTTCCCAGGTGCTGCAGCCAGCACAGCCGGTAGGGATGGAAAGTGGTCAACGCACAGTTTGGGAAAAAGGAACTAGAGACAGAATGAAAGTTTTAAAGATGGGACTGGGGGACTCAAGACCTCTCGGATCAAGAGCCCTGTTCCTCGGAGCTGCATCGCTTTTATTTAGTGTTTTGGCAAGCAGAAAGTATCTGCTATGCTACGATGAAGTCAGCCTCCTGTGTCCCCGGTCATGTCTCCCGTTTTACTGATTACTTTAAACTATCTTTGTTATTTTCTTGTACAAGGGCTACCACCTAGCTGGAGGTCATGGACCTGCACATGCCTTGGGGAAACATCTTAGTGTGTGCACAAGCAGCGCTCCGAACTTGCGCTGACCCGGCGTTCCAAGGTCCACATTACGTTTTTCCTTAGCTTAGCAGGGCCTGACAACCTCAACTGATCAACCTGATGTACTTTTATTTGGGTTATGCTGTAATGCTATATTTTGCTTTTATTCTTTTCCCATGGTGATTTTCTCATGGCTTAGCCAGAGCAACAGGCAGCAGACTATTAACCCCTGCATATCTCCTTTTTTGTTTTTATAGCAGAAGATATGTTGATCCTGCAGCATCTTTCTTCATTAGTTCTTGGAGGACTTTTTGCATGCATCTGAGGACTAAAGAGAAGATTATAGTGAAACAGCAAAACATAGCTAGTGTTCCAGTGAGACCACCTCTGATACATTTGATCCACTCGAGAGGACTCAATGCCAGGAGTGTTCAGATTGGTTATATTCCTGGGGGATTACATAGAAAGTAGTAATGTTCCAATCACACTTTAATGTATTTGTGATTTAAGATTTTGTACTTCTTCTCCTAAGAGTAGCACTGCATTTTCTAAATCCACCAACCTGTTGTTAATCTCCTCATCTATATAGAGAGCTATTTCTGCCACTGGTGCTGTGGTGGTGATGGCAATAACGCCCATTATGGCAGCAATAAGGAGCCCAATTTTCCACAGTTTGTTGGGATCCACACAGTCAAAGGCTTCGGCATAGTCAATAAAGCAGAAGTAGATGTTTTCCCGAAACTTTCGCTTTTTCGATAATCCAACAGATATTGGCAATTTGATCTCTGGTTCTTCCGCCTTTTCTCAATCTAGCTTGAACATCTGGAAGTTCACGGTTTATGTACTGTTGAAGCCTGGCTTGGAAAGTTTTGAGCATTACTTTGCTAGTGTGTGAGATGAGTGCAATTGTGCAGTAGTTTGAACATTCTTTGTCATTGCCTTTCTTAGGGATTGGAATGAAAACTGTGGCCACTGCTGAGTTTTCCAAATTTGCTGGCATATTGAGTGCAGCACTTTCACAGCATCATCTTTTAGGATTTGAAACAGCTCAACTAGAATTCCATCACCTCCACTAGCTTTGTTCATAGTGATGCTTCCTAAGGCCTACTTGACTTAGAATTCCAGGATGTCTGGTTTTAGGTGAGTGATCATACCACCTTGATTATCTGGGTCATTAAGATCTTTTTTGTATAATTCTTCTGTGTATTCTTGCCACCTCTTAGTATCTTCTGCTTCTGTTAGGTCCATACCATTTCTGTCCTTTATTGTGCCCATCTTTGCATAAAATGTTCCCTTGGTATCTCTGATTTTCTTGAAGAGATCTCTAGTCTTTCCCATTCTATTGTTTTTCTCTACTTCTTTGCATTGATCACTGAGGAAGGCTTTTTTATCTGTCCTTGCTATTCTTTGGAATTCTGCATTCAAATGGGTATACCTTTCCTCTTCTCCTTTGCCTTTAGCTTCTCTTCTATTCACAGCTATTTGTAAGGCCTTCTCAGATAACCATTTTGCCTTTTTGCATTTCTTTTTCTTGGGGATAATCTGAATCACCACTTCCTGTACAATGTCATGAACCTCTGTCCATTGTTCTTCAGGCAGTCTGTCTATCAGATCTAATCCCTTGAATCTATTTGTTATTTCCACTCTATAATCGTAAGGGATTTGATGCAGGTCATACCCGAATGGTCTAGTGGTTTTCCCTACTTTGTTCAATTTAAGTCTGAATTTGGCAATAAGGAGTTCATGATCTGTGCCACAGTCAGCTCCTGGTTTTGTTTTTGCTGACTGTATAGAGCTTCTCCATCTTTGGCTGCAAAGAATATAATCAGTCTGATTTCGGTATTGACCATCTGGTGATGTCCATGTGTGATTTTCAACAAACTGTGGAAAATTCTTTAAGAAATGGGATTACCAGACCACCTGACCTGCCTCCTGAGAAATGTGTATGCAGGTCAAGAAGCAACAGTTAGAACTGGACATGGAACAACGGACTGATTCCAAATCAGGAAAGGAGTACATCAAGCCTATTTATTGTCACCCTGCTTATTTAACTTAGATGCAGCT